GTGTGTCACATTCTGCGTTGTTCAGAAAATTAGTGAAGTTTTTATCATGTTAAATAAGACATTTCCTATTAAGCGAAAACGAATTATTCCAGTAGCTTTTTTCTTTTTTTCTGATCAAATGGACAAGTGTTCATTGCGATGATCAAGTAAGATTAAGCTGGTTCCTTGAAATGAATTCAAACTCTTGTCATTTCATCGAAGCACTCGTTCAATTTTCGCTGCCTCCTAAATTTGTTCAATTCTAACTTTTAAGTTACATTTATCTATACGTTTTATTGTGGCAATAAGTTTGTGAACTTGAAAATCAAAATTTCTTATTTCAGATTCACCACACGGAATTGCGCTCGAGTGTGGTGCCGCTTTGACGTCGCCGACAGCTCATCGTAAAGTTCAGCCGTTTTATTCATTGCCTCCTCCACAACGTCCACTCGCGCTTGCTGTGCCCTCATCTGCTCGGGATTTCACGTTTGCTGACAATGTGCAGATCAGATCCATATCCGATTTGAGTCATAAAGGTGCGAGTAGTGCGTTGTCGTTGAGTGTTAGTCAGCAGTTCACTCATAAACTCCTTACAAGTGCACGAGGACCATTGATGAGCACTGGTCACACGTCAAAATCTGTTGATGAACAGCAGCATCGATTGGCCGCCGCTGGCACAACAAATAGATATCGAGCACCTTCTCCTGCCACCACTACATCAATGACATCTTCGTCATGTTCAGCTGGTGTAAGGCGATTATGATCTGAATGGAATGTATTTTAGCTAGTATTTCGATCGGCGACTAATCAAGGTCGATATCTCGTGTTGTCGTTTTGCGCTAGGTTTCGTTTCATTTCACTTCCGATAAGATGATATTGTATCAACTGAAAAATGAACTGTGACATTTTGTATTTATTCGACGACGTTTATCGTGTGCGATTCAGCCATAATTTGTGTAAATAATTTGACAGAAACAAGAAATATTGTTGTTTGTGATTATCGAATATTATTTAGTGAGATTCTGTCGATCGTTTCGCTTTCCTTACCTTGTTACAGCAGAAGTTCCCTTGCATTGAGTTGCGAAAAGCACGCTGATACCCTGAAAGGTACAGTATGATAACTTGATAGAAGATAGTGCTTTCATTTCCAGTATGGCTGAGTTGTCTCCATTTAATAACGGTTCATTTTAGTACATTATCATTATAATTGCATGTGATGTAATATAATTTGTAAACAATTGAATATGTATGCTTCATGTGTAGCTAAATGCGTGAATGCACTTACCCTCATATTGGACTCGAATTCGCTCGTGTTACCGAGACGTTTCATTCGTCCACTTTGGTGCCATTTTGAAAGTTGTGTTGACGATGATAATGATGGTATTGTAATGGCGTTCACTACTTGAAATTCGGGGCATTCATATTCTGTTGCTTCGATCGAACACGAAGTAGTAATGCACAATGTGTTTGTTGGCGCCGAAAATTATGCTCATTTGTTGTTGAATATTCTCAATGCTAATTTATTTATTTTTCTGTACATAGTCAATATTCCCTTTACATATATATGTGTTTGTATGAGTGAATGTTAGCGCGGGTTAAAATTCATTTATTAATTTATTTCATTCATTCATATCGTTAAGAAATTTATAACTTGATATGCAATTTTGAACATTTATTTATTTGTGCATTCGGTATTCTCTTATAATTACCAATTTATGTTTGGTTCATTGCATTTATCTATCACATTCTCATTT